AACCAAGGACCCAGGATGGGACCACTCCCTATTTGGAATTACAAGGAGATAGTGGGCCTCCTTCCAGGAATAATATACTGAACCGATATTGATCAAAAAGAAGGGCCACACACATCCCAACCAGATAGCAGAGCATCAAATATGAACCACTATTCTGAGTATGCTCCCATGTTGGCAGGATCCCCCTTAGCTTTACTAGTGATAGACCATGAGTGGTGGTCCAGCATAGTAAGATAATACCACTTGATGAGCTACTAGATGGTCTTATGGAACAATTCATTTCTACAGAGCCTGTTCCAACCAGTAGTAATTACAGTGAAATAGTGATTGCTAGTGTGCTAGTGCAGAATTGGTTTGATAAAATCACACCTGTCTGGCCACAGAGTGGGATCCTGTGAAAACAAGGTAAGGGACCTTGAAAGGTAGAAATAAAAATACTTACCCCTCTGGATAACCTAGCAGGAATAGTTAAGATAGCTACAAGGTGTAGGCAAAAACCCTCAGATGAAGAGACTGCCAGATCAAACAAATAATGTAAGATAAAGGAATTGGGGCTGATTCACATACCAGTCTGCACAGTGACGTCCAGCAAGTAATTTGACTGGGCTGCTAAGGGCATAGGAAAGAGAAATCTGATTAGATGTGACTCACAGAAGATACCTTGCCTTGAAAGAGAGCCCAGAATAGTGTTGTCTAATATCTCTAAAGGAATAAGTGTAGGCAACAAAATTTCAAGACCCTCCCTGTACATGACCACTATCAAAATTTGATTGAACATAGAGAGAAAGAGTGAGCAGATGAATTGCAGAAAAGGATTGAACCACGTTCCTGTCTGACAGAGTGTTGGGTAAGAAGATCTTGACTGAGGACATAGTGAGAATGAGAAGGTGGTTTGTGGACAGATAGTACAAATCACTCCAACTGGTGATGTCCGTAGGTCAGCAGCCACGAAAAATAAACCTGTAGGTAAAGGGGATACATGGCACATAAGAGTCGGGTCACAAACAGGTGTAGAGAAAGAACATATAACCTGAATCTGTCTGTAAGGTAACTAGGATGTTTATTTGGGATCAAGTACCAAAAACAATGAGGAATCTGGAGAGTATTGGGAACTCAAAAACGTGTAGTTGCGATAATTGAATGGTAGCCGATAAGGCTGCCATAAACAATGGCAATTGTGGAAGATTCAAAAACCTCTGTCAAAGAATTAAGTAAAAAAAGAAAAGTTATGATTGACACCACTGATTGAAAATGGTTCAATCTCCTCTCAATACAACACTGCCGATATGCATATCATTAACTTTGAGAAAAAGTAACTTTTGGACTAAGCAGAAACTGAGCCCAATACATGTCAGCCTTAGAAATTAAACTCCACTGCTGTGTGAAAGATAGCATAACCTCTAAGCCAGAAGCATGGACTTCTGGATAGCTGGGTGCACCATATCCAATCATGTATGCCTCCATAAAGAGAGTACGAGAAGTGGAAGAGTTGGACACACCAGAAGAGACCACAGAAGCAGAAAACTTGGGTGCAGCTGCCAATCTAGTGTAATCAACAGGATCTGACAATGGGTTGGAACAAATCAAATTTTGTACCCTGGATAACATATGAAGTGGAGAGAAGGTTGAGGGGGGGAGGAAGTAATCCCATCCTGTCAAGATGGAAAGCATCTATTGCCAAGGCCCAAATATGAGGTACTGGAGACCAATTTAGTAGTTCAGTAGTTGGGTGATCCAATGAGAGGCCAACCCACCAATTTGAGTTGCAAAATGAGAGGCAATCCAACTGAACCTTGTGATTCAACATCTATTCTGTCAGGAGAATCTTTTTGGATTGAAACAATGGACCTATTACCACAGGAAAGCTAGAAGAGTGATAAGATAAGACTAGTCCTGAGAAAGGAGGTCCAAAATTCCAAAATAAGGAGCCTTGGATCACATGCCTCCTTGATGAAAAACTTATACACCACTGCGGAATACTCAGAGTGAAGCCTGATGATTTACCCCTTAAGAAGCCCAGACTATGAGACCTTCCTTGTAGAAGAGCAAGAAGGACAATGACATGGACGATGAGGATTCCCTACACAGACTCTGGAATTCCTGAATGATGGTATATGTACCCCCATCCATATGTACATAATTGTATATATAACTGAAGTGTGACCGTATTTTACAAAATACTAGTTCACTAAAACACAGCCAAGACAGGTTACTTTGTAAAGGTCAGAATTAAACTCTTGTATACAATAACAATAACTAACATGAGTGCACGTGCACCGCATCATTGTAACTTCTGTAATGTTAGCCAGGCATGGCTGAAAGGTCAATATAATAAATATCTATAAATGTATAATGTTATGACATTTATGCTTTTTAGACTAAACATATGTGTTTTCAAGTTATAATTTTTAGTCATTGTAGAACAAAAAAAAAGCAAAAACAAATCTTTTATGGTGGTTACAAGATTGGTCAAATCTGCTGAACCTGTACAGAGATTCAATAGTGAAAATAAGAGATAAAATATAAAGTTTTTTCTTAAAAAAATGTTTGATAATGATATGGAGGTTATAAATATATTGCATGTGAAATTTGAAAATTTTCTGATGCATAAAAGTAATTTTAATCTTAAAATGAAAATTACTTTGCATGTTTGATAAGCAACATGCAAAAAAAAAAAAGGCACGAGAAAAACATTGCTTTACAAACCTTAAGACTTAATATAAAAAAAAATTATATTTTGGGTATGAAAGCACAATGCAATGTTTACTTATAATGTGCCAGATTTCATGAACATATGCTTACTAATTTAAAAGCGATAGAATGAAAACTATGACAAGCACAAAATTGTTACGAGGTCAGACTGAGGGACCAAGCCGGTGCTGAAAGAGTTAACTCTTGGCAAATAAATTGTCATTGATAGTTTGTGGCATTTAGTCATTAGATTTTACCTGAGTGATCTTTATGTGGAACATGGTGTTGCTAAGTTGACATGTAACTTCATTGAAATAATGATTTCTGATACAAGACCTTGCTTCTTCTCACATAATAGCTTTTCTCATTCAGTGCTTAACAACTGAGTTAAACAACTTAATTAGTTGTTTCTGCTTTGTTTTCTAGTTAACCTCGTATTACTGTCAGTTGTTAATTTTGTATCCACTCTCAATTGAATTATGCATTCTGAATTTCAAATCACCACTTCTACTGCACCTCAACTTGCAGTTTCTCAGACTTAAGGCTCCACACTTTTGGCTAAATAGGTCGTGAATTGGAGTGCATTATACAGCCTGAGGTGTCTCTTGATACCAGACCAGATAATTGTTTTTCTGGTGAACCTGGACAGACCTTGCATAGGGCCTCCTATTCAGCTGAAGACCCTACATTATGCTATTATTTGCATATACATGTTAACCAAGCCTGACTAGAAATGTCTCGCAGAAACAAACATTTGGCCCCATTCACTCTGAACTTGAGGAGGGTTGGTTGCCTCTGTTGTCCCCCTACTCCCCATAATACACCCCTGGAATGTCCACTTACTAGGCTTATGTTAGTCTAGACAGTGAGTCTATATAACATGCACCATTAGTTATAAAACCATGCTCACTGTTTTGGGACTGTTTGCAAGGTATTTTTAGACCTTCTAAAATGTCTAAATAAAGTGCTGTGTTGTGATTGATTAGTTCACAGGTTTATCTTAGTTTGTATAATGTACACCATTAGTTAGAAATTCATGCTCACTGTTTTGGGACTGTTTGGAAGTTATTTTTAGGCCTTCTAAAATGTCTAAATAAAGTGCTGTGTTGTGATTGATTAGTTCACAGGTTTATGTTAGTTTGTATAATGTACACCATTAGTTAGAAATTCATGCTCACTGTTTTGGGACTGTTTGCAAGGTATTTTTAGACCTTCTAAAATGTCTAAATAAAGTGCTGTGTTGTGATTGATTAGTTCACAGGTTTATCTTAGTTTGTATAATGTACACCATTAGTTATAAGTTCATGCTCACTGTTTTGGGACTGTTTGCAAGTTATTTTTAGACCTTCTGAAATGCCTCAATAAAGTTCTGTGTTGTGATTGATGTCAAATTCACTAACTTTCGAACAGGTCAGCACAAACTGTAAGCTTGTACTTAACACCAGTTTTTATGATACAAAAATGAAAAAGTTGAAAGAAATTATGACAAAATATATTCTTTTAGTTAAGCCTTCAGGACAGCTTTTTATGTCAGATGGAAAATTTTTAGTTAAGCCTTCAGGACAGCTTTTTATGTCAGATGGAAAATTTTTATTAAAAAGTATCCACTCAATGAGTTTAGACTTTTAAATTCCAATTATTACTTAAGTTTAGAACAAAACATGTATAGGAAACCAGAATTACTTAGAGTTAATAAAAATTTTCCATCTGACATAAAAAGCTGTCCTGAAGGCGAGTGACGTCAAGATCAGTTGACTTATTACACTTGTAATACTAAATCTTCTAGAATTTTCTTCTGTGTATGTTCCTCTTGCGAAGGAGGTCTTAAATGTAAACTTATCTTGAATCCTTTACTTAAAATATGTTTAGCCATCAGTGTTGATATGAAATTTATGTGATTGCAATACATGTTTTAGGAAAGCACAGATTAAAACAGACTAAGATAAAAAATTGGGGGCTTGCAGAACATAGAGAGTTTGTGTATTAGACTTGATATTTGGCCTGAATGGAGATGGTCAGGTGATTACATATATGAACAAGAACTTTGATGACTACTTTTGATAATCTATACAGAAATGTCTATATCATTCACATCACCATGTCAGTTATTGATTGTAAGCAGTTGATTCAATTTCTGACCTCATGCTATTAGTTATTTAAATTAATTTTAAAGGGTGAACTTGTACATACAGTGTCTATTCATTGTTAACAAGATTCAGCCTTGAACAGCTTTACTTTAAAGGTTTTTTCAATGATGTTCCGTTCTATTCCACTTGTGAAGTAATTAAAAAAAACTGTATATTTTACAGCACTTGCCTTGAAAGGAATTGAATATGAGTATCGACCAGTGAACCTTATTAAAGCTGGAGGTGAACAGGTATGATTCATTTATTATGTATTTAAGTTTTCAACTTATGAAGAAGATTTGATATAGTTAGGTTTGGTTTATGATATTTACCTTCCTACTTAGTATTCTTCAGCCTGAAATGTATTTTCTAAGCACAAGTATAGTAGCAGTTTTTAATCTATGTGACTACTTTATTTCACAATTCAGAGTTGTGCAGCATAACTTACTAGTAATCAGGCACATTGTTTCCTTTTGTTACATTATGTTACTGAAAATGCTACAAGCCACCTTTATGTGTAATAAAAACTAATTCAAATCAGGTAGACTTGCATCTGAATTACTACTAGCTTTCCTTATTGGGTTACTGTCAAAACCATGTGACTTATTAAAGCTCAGAGTGTCCTAGACACAATGCAGTTTACCCAGAATTTTCCAATCATTTTACCTTACATGTGACTTCTTTTGTGAACTTGTATAAACTCTGCTTTCCAGCCATAATTCAGATTTTCTTGCTGAAAGTTGTTAACATTGTGTGATCTCATTCTTGTTATGGATTCTGAAGTACAAGTCAATCTTGAAGCTAATACTCTAGTCAATGATTCATGTAGTGCTTCTTCTAATGTTTCTATCAAAGATGGAAATCCTGCTGCTTCTTTTGAAACATCACTCCTATAGTCTTCCCTTAACATGCAGGAAGTTTCCATGGTGTAGCAGCACTGTTAGAGTCTATCAACAAGCATATATGGGCCATTAAGTCTTATGTGTTTCTCTGGTTTCAGGATCTTTTTGATGCCAAATTAACTGGTATCAGCCACTTTTTTTCTTTCCATGAACAAGCTTGTCTTTTACACAGGTTTTTTCATCTTCATCTGCGGAACCGGATTTGCTAGTCATACCTTGTCGTGAAGATGATTCTGTTGAACCTATATCTGTTTGTTTCTCTGAAATACAACATTTTAATTATTGAGCCATTTTCTGTTATACCTTGTCATTTCTTGTCCTGATGATGATTCTGTTGAACTTGTATCTCTGTTTCTCAGGGATGTAACATTTTAATTATTGAGCCATTATCTGTTATACCTGAAAGTTCTAGTGTTTCATTACAAGATTTTATTTTAGAATCTTTATTTATTCCTCTTTCTTCTGACATTTGGGTTATGGCTGAAGCATTTAGAAATTGCTACAATTTTGCAATTACCTCAAATATCTCACTTTTGTGGCCTTTTGTTTATTAATTTGATATCTGAAACTTGAAATCCTCAGTTTTTTTTATTATTATTAAAGAATTGGGTAGGTCTACTATCCTTGGCACTATTTTGTATTTGTCATTATTTCTGGTCATCATCCTACTTTTGTGTGTCCAGTAAGTATTAGCCTCCTGCATTATCTACTCCTTCCTCTACTGCATCTCATTTTTTTTCACTCCTTTTGAGTTGCAAAGCATAGAAGTAAGCAAGGTGGGCCTTCTTGACCCAAGCAATGATTTTCTTCCTTTCCAAGCTGTCCCTACTTTTTTGTCTTTTGGGAGTTGTCTTGGATCATTTGTTCAGCTGTGGGATCCTTGGGTTCATCAGTTTTTTCAGTTTGACTTTTTATCAATTTTCATTACCATCCACTACTTTCATCTGATCCAGTTTGTATTAAAACTTTTGATCAGGAAGTTTGGATCTCCTACAGAAAAGGACCATTGAAATAGTGCACCACACTTTTCCATGTTTTTACTCTTGTTTCTTTTATAGTGCCAATAAAATGTAATAGATCTTTCCCTCCTCAATTGTTACCTGGACATTTTTCATTTCAAGGGAGAAAAAGTAACTACTTTATGAAAATTACTTCTTCAATGTCTTTTATGTAAGAAGCTGAAGACAGACCAGAAGAGAGGGTCATAAACTATAATAAGCCATTCCCCAATGGTAAAAGCATAGAAAGTAGTCGAGAAGATGGATTAATAGACATGTAGATAAGTATCTTTGATATCCACTCTCATTATCCTCACATACATAGTTAAAGCCTTTTTTGGTCTTTTACACACACTTAATATCAATTTTCATTATTAAATTGACAGTTTTCTAATTAAAGATCAAACGTAACTCCTGTCATTCACTCGCTTCATAACAACCATCCAGTTAGCTTCATCTCTGGGATTGATTATCTACAATTCCAAGTTATAATATACTATAGTACGTTCTGTATAGTAACATACTATACTATAATATGTTACTATACAGAACGATGAAGTTATCATAAGAGTTACTAACAGAAGTTATCAAAAGAGTTACTAACAGAAGTTATCGTAAGAGATACTTACCTGCAGAAGCCACCACCACAACCACAGTGAAAACTGGTTGCAACAGGCTTATCTTTCCAGGGATGCAGATGGGAAAGTGACGACCTGGCAAACAGTTATACTGAGAAAGTAACGGGAAGTTGTGCTGCGTCAATCCCATGATAATTTAACAGGAGGACATCTCAGAGTTAAAAAGACATTGAGTCACCTGTGACAGAGATTTTACTGGATAGATATGAGGCAAGATGTTAGCTTCATCTCTGGGATTGATTATCTACAATTCCAAGTTTCAACTTGTACCAGCTCATTAGTTGGTGCATCTGGAATTTTGGATAAACACATTTCAAGGAATTTCACCTTTTTCCTTTGGCTTTGCAATCCCTAGAGGCTTGGATGCACCTACATCTATCATCTACTTAATATGCTAAAGATGTCCACTCTGCTTTGGGAACAATAATTTGTTTTTAGGAGGTGATTTCTTTGACTTACATAAGACATCTTTCCTCTCAATTGTACCTGTCTTCAAACCTGTTATGTCAGAAAATTTCCCTCTGTCACATTGGTTTTGATTGTCTTCAGTTTTGGCTAAATTGAGAATTTAGTGCTGCAGATACCTTTTTTCTTCCACCTCATACAGATCTTCACAAGTGCCTCTTTCAAGGTGCTATTTTGTGAGACTATTATCTTTCACGCTCTTGATATCCTCAGAAAAAGAATCTTACATTAATCTATTGAAACTCTTGGCAGTTCAGCAGGCTTATGAAAAGTTCCAGCCCTTGCTACACAACTGTTGTGTTTTAATTTATAGAGACAATTCTTCAGTGATGGCATATATTAACAATCAGGGAGGAACTTGATCTTGCAGCTAGAGCTAGGTGATTAGTGTGATTTGCTTATCAATTAATCATTGGACTTATTAATTGATTGTTCTCACATGAAACTGATCTTCCTAGTTCCAAAATGCACATACCTCCTCTCACACTTACAGCTATTACTCAACTGCCAGGGTTTCTTCCTTTGCCCATCTAAGCATTGGTCCAGAATCTACGTACAGATGACAAGGCTTCCCTATGCAATGTTTTACTCCTTCCTTTTTTAGGGGAAATCAGCGAGTTTCACTCTGACAATTCCATGGTGGTGTCTTGTGTTTATCATTGAGGAGATACTTGGTCCAGGGCTCCTTGTTTTCGAATCTTTGACCTCCTTTCTCGGAACCATTCCTATCGTATCACACTACTAACTTGCCATGTTTTATGGGTGATGCCTGCAGTAACAGGTCAATTGTTTCAATCCATACAGATTCTTCTGACAGAATAGATTCTGCATTGCAAGGTTCTGTTGGATTGGCTCTAATTAGGTAACTCTGATTTGGAGGTTGGACTTTCATTGGATCACCCAACTACTGGCAATTTTGTTTCCAGTACCTCACCTTTGGGCTTTAGCAATGGATGCGTTCCATCAGAACAGGATGGAATTACAACTCTAGGCCTTCCCCCTCCCCAGTTCATATGTTACCCATGGTATTAAATATGATTTGTTCCAACCAATTATTGAGTCCTGTTGATAGCACCAGATTGGCAGCTCCACCCTGGTTTCTGCTTCTGCAGTACCTTCTGGAGTGTTCACCTCTTCCACTTCTGCTTAGGCATCTCTGTAGAGGCAGCCATAATCTAACATGGTACACCCTGCTACCAGAAGCTCAAGCTTCAGGAATAGAGGTTATGCAGTATTTTGCATACATCAGGGTTTAATTTTTCAAGGTTGCCATGTATCTGTCTCAGCATTTGCTTTAGTCCCAACATTTATCAACGTAAATGACATGCATATCAGCAATGGTGTATTGAAAGGAGGTTGAATCCACTTTGCTTAGAAGTGCTAGCCATAAATCGTTTTTTAGTCTTGCTCTTTGGCTAGGATTGTTGCAACTTCCACTATTGCTCTGTTTGAGCTGGCCTTATTGACTACTGTTCAATACTCACGACTAAATATGCTTTGAGTCCCCAGTACTCTCCAGATTCCTCAAGTCGCTTTGGGCCCTTGGTCTCAAATGACCATTCCAGTTACATAACAGGTATATTAAGGTTACGTTACATGCCCTTTCTCAACACCTGTATGTGACCTGATTCTCATATGCCATGTATCCCTTCTACCTTAAGGTTTATTTTTCATTGCTGCTGACCTACAGACATCATAGGGTTTGGTCTGTTTGTCCACAGACCTCTTTTTTATTCTATCTATATCCTCACTGGTACTTCTTACCCAAGACACTGTCAGACAAGGAAGGGGATAAATCCTTTTCACTGATTCATCTGATCACTGTTTGTTACTTCTATGTCCGATCAGATTTCGATCATTGTTATATTCAGTGAGGGTTTTGAAGGTTTTGTTGCCTGCACTAATGCCTTTAGAGATGCTAGACAATGACATTTTATTTTGGAGCCTCTTTTAAGTTGAGGAATTTTTATGTGAGGCATGTCTAATTAGATTTGTCACACTTCTAGGTCCTTAACGGCCCAGTCAAATTGACCGCTGTAGAGCATTGTTGGGACTGGTATGTGGAGCTCCCCCAATACTTTTATCTCACATTATTTACATGATCTAGCAGTATCTTCATCTGAGGGTTTTTGCCTACCCCCAGTAGCTATCTTAACCACCTCCACTAGATTATACAGAGTGGTGAGTATTTTCATTGCTTCCTTTCAGGGTCCCTTACCTTGTTTTCACAGGATCCCACTCTGTGGTGAGTGTTGCCCAGGCAGGTGTGCTTTTATCATACCAATTCTGCACAAGCAACCACTAATTCAATATACAGGTTGCAACAGGCTATGTAGAAATGAGGTGTTCCATAAGATCACCTAGAGGCTGACCATGTGATATTACTGTAATATGCTGGACCGCCACTCATGGACTCGTGAGTAAAGCATAAGGGGATCCTGCAAATCCCTGCTGATCATTAGATTGAATAAATCAGAGTAGGTTTGCTTTTAAAAATTTAGGGAACTTGGTTCACCTATTACATTGTTTCCAGAGTACTGTTCCTCAGGGAGTCCTTACCACATTCAGTTTCCAGTCACTGGGGTGATGGAGAGAGGCTTTTGCTCCAAAGTATTAGAGAGAATCCCTCCACTCTTAGAGAAGAGGGGAAAGTTGGGGGCCCTCCTACCCAAATCCCTGGATGTTTTTTCCTAGATGTCGATAGGAGTGGCACTAGCCTATGTGGAAGCCTACTCGTAATACAGGTTCAGATTTGATGCTCAGCTATTTGGTTGGGTTGAGCATGGCCCTTCTTTTTGATCAATATTGGTTCAATACATTGTTCATGGAAGAAGGTCCATTGTCTCCTCGTAATTCTGAATGCAGAGTGGTCCCATCCTGGGACCTTGGATGAACACAGTTGTTCCACGTCTTCCCAATACTTCTGGAGGCAAGTGGAATTTACCTTGCCCACACGGTTGGGGAGTGAGGATGAGTGTTCATAATTCCAGACCGGATGAGTTCTGTTTCCTTGGGTTGATTAAGACATACACGATCCCATCAATCCGAGCCTGGTGTGTTGCCGTTTGGACTTCTTCAGGTTAAGGAGAAGGTTTGTTTAATTCAGTGTTGCTTACTTTCTCGTCATGATTCCGGTGGCTTGAAACTCATCGCTCTGTGGCTACTGGTTGGAATCCATTCATATGTATATACATATATAGATTAGTCCAATTGCCCTAGCCACCAATGTGGGATATAGGTACCATGGCCCTATAATTCCAACCCCGATTATCTAACCGTGGCTATCTGGTTGTGCCCTGGCAAATAGTTATGACAATTCATGTAAAATTACACCCACAGTACATGAATTAAGTTCCAGTTGAAGAGCATACCAGTTCTGGATGTAGTACAGTTCCACCACTAGGGTGCCAATCTTCTATTGACACACCCATGATCTAGGCAGATGCTTTCTGTATGGATAATGCCCTCACCATCCCCTCCACTTTATGGGATTGAGTCAGACTTGAAAAAGTGGTAACATTATCTGAATGAGGTGCTTATATACAGTACTAGGATGAAGGTGTAGTGTGTCACTAGACAAATATCGCCAAGGAAAATTAAGTGGTGTATAAAAGACTGGAGCAGGCGAGAAAAAAATCGGACCAATTTTTAGATGGGCAAAAGAAGAAACCCTAGTAGTTGAGTAATAGCTGCAAGTGTGAGTGAAAGTAAGTATTATTGGAAATGCATTTTTGACTTAAGGAAATAACCATCAGGCTGTTTTGATATCTTTAAAGACATTTTCTAACTATCCTTCACATAATTTGATACAAATCTTCATGTACAACAATTTAGGATTAAGTTACTTTTTTAATCCTAAACATTTGGATATTAAATATTTTATATATGCAATATAGTATGAACTTTGTTACAAGTAGAAAATATTAATACTGTTTCTTTGGTTTCTCTGTACAGAGTTTTAGAAGACTACTAAAACTATTGAATTTTGTTGATTAAAATAAATGTTGCTTCATGATATTGATTGTAAATCAGAAAATTTTAAACATAACGGTGGCTAGTGAGGTATAAGTTAACATAACTTAATTCTGGGGATTGAGATTACAAATCTATATGATTACAACTATACCTAGGCAATCAAGTATGTGAAAACACGCGTATGTATTCATGGCAGTGAAAATGTTAATTGTTCTGTGTCATAGATTTATTATGCTATACGCATTGTGTTAGGTGACTTAGGTTCTTTGTTTGTTTTTTGTTTTTATTAATTATAAATCTCTCCTTTTTTACTTTCAAGCCACAGATATTTTAATAAATATGAAAGAATTGAAAAATAAAATATTTCTTAAGTTCTGCTGAGTGTTTAGGTGACACTGTATTGACTACAGTAAAACAGGACTTGTGCTTGTCTGATAACATCAAGTACATCATGTTGTGTTATATACTATGTTGTACAGTTAGTCTTTGTTATGGTGTGAAAACCTTTTTCAAGTTGGAGAAGCATTATTATAATTCATTATTCCTGTCATTAAACATTTGTGTTAGGCCTATAATATTGTTACGACAGCGGAAGTCACATAATGCTGGTAACACGTCACGAGTTTCTAGAAGGATCATGACTTTTTCTGGCAACTTTAGTCTTTTCTAGGCACCCTCTCTTTTATTATATAAGCCCGGCAAATAAAGCAGAGATAATAATAGCAGATAGAGATATAGAAAGAGATAATTGAGTCAAGCGAGCGGTAGTGACTGCAAGTAAAGTGTGTGAATTGTTGTGAATTATAGTGTGTGTTTAAGTAAAGTGACTGTGGAAATTCTGTGTATTGCAAAGTTGTATTGAGAAAGAATAAACTAGTTTTATTTAAGAAAGGACTTGTATCGCTGAAGTTCCTCGGGAATAATTTATACTGGAAATTAACAAATGACCAGAGACGTAACAATATATATATATTTTTTTAACACTCCATTGTTTATCTAGTCCCTTAGGGATCTTCAAGAATCAGAAGAGTTATAATTATAGTATTTCAACCATAATATGTTTGCCATATTCACTCAACCCAGAGCTCATCAGGCAGCTGAGACACAAAAAAGCTACTTATATAAGCCACTTATCACAACAACAGTTTTTAAGGTGTGAACACCTTTTTCAAGCTGGTGAAACATGATTATAATTAATTATACTTGTCATAAGGTGAGCTGTGGAGTGAGTGAAATAAGTTATCAGCAATGGATATGGAAAACATAGTGTGCTTGAAATGCTATTATACACTCTTCTAATTCTTAAAAATCCCTAAGGGACCAGATAAAAAGTGTAGTGTTAAAAAATTATAGGCCTAGTAATAATGTCTTATGACAAGTATAAGTAGCATAATGGGACAGCTTTTCAGGTTGCTTACTTTTTTAACTCAAGTACATATTGATAATATTAGGAATTAGATGAAAAAATATGGGACATTATCAAGTTAAAAGAGATAGAGAGAGGTTATTTCCCAAAACATTAAAATTAGTAATTTATTCTCTTCATGAGTGACATATTTTATGAGTAATATGATTTTAACAGTTTGGACTCAATTACTGCAAGATTATACATGCTAATTTCTAGAATATAGTAAGGTTGTTTTTTTATCATGTTGTTTGGGAGATGTATTTACCAGTATTTTTCTTTTTCAGCACTCAGAAAATTTCAAGAACTTGAATCCATTGGAAAAAGTTCCAGCTTTAGTAATAAATGGGCATACTTTAACTCAGTCTGTAAGTATTTTAGTTGTTTGGTGTCAAGCTTCAGATGGATACATATGACAACAACTACTTAATCAACGTTTAATTACATGAACACTTCTAAGAGATATAATGTAAAATCACAAGAATATTCCTGTGTCACTGTAGGTCCTGCATGCTTGTATCTCTTGTGTTATTTTGGAAATGAATGTACATCAAACTAAAATTTCTACAAATAAATAAACTAAAAACAAAACCCATCTGTTTTAATACTTACTTCAGGCTGTTGACATTGTTATTTATCTGGCTGAGTTTTTTTTTTTCTAATATGATCCTTTTCACTGTTGTAGTTACCTAGTTTTACGTAAACCATAAGTTGAGCATTGTTAGTAGTAGTTATGTTTTTAATTCAAAGAGGATAAGATGGGCAAAACAGATTAATGTGAGCTTAGCTTTAACAATGAAAGTAATAAATTAAAATCTTTTTACACCTCAGAAAAATTTAAAAATGTTTATAGGAAGAACCATTAATTTAAACCATTTGATATAGTCTGTTTAGTAATTAAGTATTAAAAAATAATATCAATATTACACCTATTATTATGTTGTGTGTGCCAAAATTATGAATGAATCAAGTAATGATGAAACTTTGAATTTTTGTGTTTGAAATATAATTTTATAAGTGTAGTTCGATAGAATATAACAAAAAAAGCTATATTTATTCTACCATTTTTCTGAGATAGTTTGATATATTATAAAACATATTAACCCACATTAATTATTGAAACCCATATCATTACCAGCTGAGAACCACATGTTAAAACTATATTAGCTTTCCTGAGTTTCGATATCATTGTTATTAGCATATTTACACATATTGTTTCTCTGCTTCTTTGGCTTTATTCTCAACATATTCACCTTTGAGTTTATGCTCCCATTGTGATAATAATTTTGGCAGACTCTCATACTCAAGATCATTGGCTTTTCCCAAACTCTCCATCATTTGATGTTTTAGTGACTTTGCATATGTTTGGTTTGTCCCATAATTGATGCCTTCACAGTGTTGGATAACCATCTTTTTCCAATCTCCTAGTTCCAGATCCAATCTGGGAAAAACATTTTTCTTTTTGCTTACCCTCCTCTCTGACTTTTTCCTTTGTTACTTGCTAAGATAAGTTATGCATAGTGCTTGGTTCTCTTCATCACTCTACTTTGGCCAGTTCATCCATGGTTTTTCCTCAACATTCTTAAGGAAAATTGATCTCATTACCACCTTGGAACATCTCTTCAATATTCTTAAATGCCAATTTTTCACGCTAACCTTTCATGTGTATAGCTTCTTAGCTTATTGTTGTTAGGTCCAAGAAGCCAAATTCTCTTCTAGAGTGGCTTGCATGTCAGTACATTCTACTGATGCTCTTCCGTGGTGAAATATAAATCTCATTGAGATCATTTCTAAAGATTGTGAATTAGACATAATATTTTCTGCCGTGTCTCCAACTCATTAATAAAAAGCTTCTTTCTTAATTTTTTGTTTCATAATCATGGTTTATATCCTTCTTCCATAGCTAATTACAGAAATGCCTTATTATCAATTTCTGATGCCATGGAAGCCATCAGTCTCTTTTGTTCCCATTGTTCAAAGATCTTTTCCATGCCATTCATTTTCATAAGCCCAAGTTCCTAAAATCTGTCTTAAATGAGGCTTAAGCTCGAGGACATAGCTGTTGGAATATTTTCTACCTAATGTAAGCAATTAAGGAAAATATGTTTTTAATGTTGTATGATAGAGTGAACAAGTTACCAATGGTTCAAAGGGTAAGAAGCCAAAAAATGTTCCAACTTTTATGTCCCTGAGCTTCACATTTTTTTTCAGAAGGCCTTATGTTTGTAACCAGTTCACACCTTCCTACCTAAATGTGAGCTGTGAGAGACAGTGAGTGTTGTTGCTCACTTGTTGTGTTAACCATCCTATCTGATAGAAAACATTCTTCTGAGTGAGAATCACTATGTCTAGTCAGAGCTATTCTTTTTCTCTCACATGTACTGAATTTCTCGGGAAGGCACGGAAAATGTTTTTTATACCACATCATGATTTGTTCTTCTCGAATCTCCTTGAAACTGCCTAGGTTCTTTCAATTCTCTCTCTGTGACTGTGACCACAGCCTTACAACTTGGCTGGCCTTTTCAAATTAAGGAGGAACATGTATATTCTTTCATTTTTATTTGTCTCCTCATCTGAAAATCTTCCACTATAGATATACAAGACAATGTCTGTGCTCTGACTCTGCTCACCTGTTATGCCATCACCTCTGACCACACCTAAGAATGTGTTTGGCTCTACAAGTTCCAACTCCTATTTGTTTCCCCAAAAGGGGGCTGAAAACCTCTTGGATGGGTCACCTGTTTTAACCACTTACACCACTATACATTAGTGTTGTCTGTCAGTCAGTCAATAGGCACTAAAATGACACCACATAAGGGATGCTTAACATTGAAATTTGTACTGTCATGATGTCGGTAAAACACACACATGCCATGAATCACGAGAAGAATTATGCATGACATATGAACTTTAAAAGCAGAACTAGAAACAAAACACTTTTGAAGACCCTGTGGAAGTACTTGTAGTTGTATAGCTTTATGCTTAATAACAAGCAAACTGGTTTCCATTTTTATAGCACATTTATTAGAATACTTATGCTTTTGCTTATTCTTTGCAAATATGACTAAAAATGTGACAGTTAAGACCTTACAGTTCAAAACAATTGTGGTTTCTGTACATCTCGTGAATCTAACATGTTAAGTGTATACAGCTATTTCTGGAGTCTCCATCACTTCTCAGGTTTAATACTTGAAGAGTTTCTTCCAGTTTTGTTTAGACGCTTGTATTTACCATAATAATGTTTACATTTTTATGGTCTATCAAGATGACGTGTTCTGTTGACACATTGTTATAGTGACATTGTGCTATTTTCTTTGTGGAATTATTTTCAAATTTTGCTATCCAGTTATAGTGAAAAGACTTTTCAAAGACTTTCAGTCACTACACTCTTGACCAAGTCATACTCAGAAACTTTACCATTTGTGAGGTTTTATTCACCTTTATTTCTTGTTTCACAGTGTAGTAATTGGATGTGCTGTATGTTTTTCACTCCTTTTTAAATATTATTCTGTTTTTCATAGTTCCCTAGTTGGATGTAGAGAAGGTGCTCAAGTGAATAACTAAATTTCACTCTCTTTAAATGGTGAACTAGGTTAAGTGAGGGTGAAAGCCTGTTTATCTGATTCATTTACAGGAATAGAATAGTGACACGGTCTTTAATTAGTGAGCCAAGTTATTCTTGTTAGCATATCGGGTAATTTTTGGAACTGGAATCACCTGATCTAACAAGAACCATTCAAGGCTTTCTTACATCGGGAACTTGAGAGTTTATTCAGATATTTAAGGTAGCAACTGAAGAGAGATTTTTCATAAGATTTTACGAAGAGTCTGATTTAGATTTTCATACAAATTTTACAGAGATTTACACAGTTCGTATATTGGGATGTGCACAGCTCCTTCTTTCAAGCCTGTAAGTATTCAACAGAACCTTGCTGTTTCTGCTTTGTTTTCCTGTACTTTTACTTTTGTTTGAACAGGAGCCTGAGCAATGCTTGAACTTTCCTCAATTTTGTTTGTGTTCACTGTAAGCAGACTTGTTTAGCACTTTTTAGCATATAAAGAGTGAAGTGTTGGCTTGATATCTTAAGAATGAAGCATTGATTTAGCAATTTGCTTTGTGTTAAATGTGAAGTGTTTAGAATTGCAGTACTTTTAGTGATTGTTATTTTGTTAGTGAAATCCAAGTAATAGAACGGATTTCACCAAGTTTAGCAAGGATTAATATTACTCTATCTAAACTGGAGTTATTTTTATTTAACTTTTTAGTGTTTATTCACTTAGGCTAATTTACAAGAGGAACTACACATACTGATGTACACACCTACTGTACACTTTTGTATTATATTCTATTGTAACTTGCAGGCTATTGTTTATTGTAATTTATTAACTTTGTTTAAATCACTGTAAACTTAAAATGTTATTTTGCATCTGACCTGTTTTCTCTGGATTTTGCTGCCGCATCTTGTACTGTCCTTATTTCTTCCTTTAGTATTGTAGTCAGAGTTTCTGGCATTGGCTGTTCCTCACTAAGCACTTCAAATCTGTTTTTCAGCTGTAATTGGAATGTCTCCTTGTATCTCTCTATCATTTGTATATTTGTTTTAAAGATTTGTTTCTCTGGATTCTCTTTAGACGTACCAGTCTTTTGTTCAGTTTCATTTTCCCTCTCACCATTCTGTGGTTGCTTCCAATGTCCACTTTTGTTATGACTTTGCAGTTCTCAATGATGTTCCTTGTAGAGGTTAGTAAAAAGTCTATTTGGTTCTTTCTGTTTTCATCAGGTGTCTCCCATGTCCAGTATCTGTTCTTGGCTTTTTCAAAATATGTGCTTGCTATGATCATACGGGTGGCTTCTGCAAATTGTAGTAATGACCTCTTGCCTCTTTCATTTCTATCTCCGATTCCAAATGGTCTCATACATCTGGTATTTTCACTCTTATTTTTGATTCTGATCTTTGCATTGAAGTCTCCCATAATTGTGGTATTTGCACTTGTCTTTCTCAGTGGCCATTTTTTATTTTCTCATAGAATTGATCTTCCCTTACGTCATCATGGTCTTTAGTTGGTGCATACACCTGTATTATCTTGAGTGATGTATCTCCCAGATATTTCAGTTTGCAGGATATAACTCTGTCTGAGTGTGTTTCAAATATTTCAATGTAGTCTTGGATGTATCATGAATGCTATGCCTTTTGCATTTGTGTTCTCTTCTGTTTTTCCAACGTCGTACATCCATATGCCTCCCGTTAGTTCACTGAGTCCTTCTTTTTTGAGTTTCATTTTGTCCAACAATGTCTCAAGAGATGTTTCTTAGCTCTTTGGTCAGTCTCCTTAAATCAACTTCATCACTGATGATTTTGGCAGTACTACTTACAGCTCCTTTTTGGATTTAATCATAACATGTCATTGAGAAATATATTCTCTGAGCTACAAATTGTCTGTGCCTTTTGCTCTTTAGGGCCCAGAGCATTATGGCCTTCCTTTAGTTTCTTCATTTCATTCTTTGATGGGAATTTGGCCTACCATCAACACGCTGGCCAGGCATGTTGTTGATGGGTTTCTTCGTAGAGGTGTCCTTCCTGTAGCCTCTATTGGTTATAGGTAATATATAATTAAACGTAAGAGAGAACAATTAACAAATCCTGAAAGAGAGGATGTGACAGGTGGGTGTTGCAGGAGGGATCTGATTTTTTAATTGATAGCTCTGTAACCAAACAAAATGGGCAATGGAGATTTTATAGTGAGTAATTTACATTTATTTTCATAGTTTTTAAAAAGGTGGTGGATAAAACAGAGAAGATACCTAGAGAAAATGTGTCATGTATAACACTAGGGAAAATTCAGGATTTTTTAAAATATTGCTTTATAGAATTAAGAACTTAAAACTTGTATACTATTAAAATATTGATTATTAGCCAAGGTTTTATGCAATACTAATTTGTATAACATAAATTAAAGGTAGTGTAATAAAATTTTGAATGTAAGACACTAAAATTTTGTATCATGCCCCCTAAATGATACCCGTGGGGATAGAGTGTAATGTTCCAACAAACCCCTGATATTTTGTTAAGTGAAACATGGGAGGTTGGTTAAAGACATTATCTCAGCAGTATTTTATAAATTCAAAAAAATGTCATAATGTACAGTGCCATAAATAAGGAGGTACCTATTTTAACTGTAGTTGCCAAATCCACAGTGTTAAATATACACAACTGTTTCATTTACATATAGCACAAGTCATAAATTAGTTATTTTTAGAAGCAATAGTTTATCACAGGTTTGTTAACATAACTGTATACGAATCATACGTTGTGTAGCTAATTAGTTTTAGCTACTATAGCTAATTAGCTAATATAGTTAATTAGACAGATAGATCTGAAGTGTGTTATTGTGAATTTAGCCATAAAGAGTGTATAGTGGCAACTTTTAAAGTGAAATTATCACAGATTTTATTGTAATAAGAGTAGAGAAAAATAATTTGTCTTATCAATTGTGTTCTAAAGTAACTGAACCAGCCTGTGGGGACTTTGAAGGAAAAAAACAATTATTTAAAGATCTGGATAGAACTGTGATAACCAGTGTAATGAACATTTTTATATATGTTTTGACTTGTTTTAATATGTTATTTTAAAACAAGTGGACTGTGTGCTGTTTGTTTATTGTTGAAATTTATTGCCAACAAGTCACAGACACCTACTGTAAAGAATCTACACATCTGATACACAGTAAAACATAAAAAAAAAAGCCTTGGACCTTTTGGCAGCTAACAGTTCTATTGCATCTCGTAAAATTGACTTGTAGATTTGGGAAAAGATCTCAAGATGCTACTGTTAATATGTTTTTATGAGATGTTGATGAAAGTACAGCCTTCAACTCAAAAACAATTTTCATTAGCCTCTTTTCATATCATTCAGAAAGTGATGATTGAGCCTTCTGCTTGTGTTGTATCCATCGACATTTCACTATTCAGTAATATTTCATACTTATTTAATGATCATGGTATTCTGCAGAGAAACTTAATTTCAGTTTTGATAGATTATTTTAGTGTAATAAAAGGGTGAACATAAGGAGTTGGAACAAATATTTAATAACAAGCTCCACATTGATTGACTATAGATACTGTAAGTTTCCATCACATTCATAACATTTCTCAGATATTCTGTGAGCCATTCAACAGATGGGTTGATATGTTTGATAATTTTAAATGTTCAGATACCTTTAAAAATGGTTGTTTGCCCTTTATAAACCAGTGAACATCAAGTTTACTGTGCAAAAACATTTTGCCCCTCATCAATGGCTGTTAGTCTGTGCTATAACTTTTTAAAGATTCTCTAATATTTTTTCTGTGTTCTATCATTGTTTCCTGCTTGTAGAAGACAGCTTTTCTTTCTACAAAAATTCAGGAAATTTTCAGAGATAGAAATGTGAGCATGAATCGAAAATGGGAATTAGCTAAGTTTGTGGTGATCTTAGGTGAAAACAGAATTCACAAAAGATGATGATAGAAGTATGAAAAAGGTATTGTAAGACATGCTCTCCTTTTAAATTTTTGACAAGATTTGTAAGTTTTTGGTAAAAGATGGTGATCTGTGTTTGGTTACAGTTTTTAAATGATCAAGATATATGGCTTTGTCAAAAATTATGTTCCATCAAAATTTCCTTGTCCTCAAATAGATTCCTATTCTAGTGTTAGGGAAATTGTTACCAGTCCAAAGACAGGCCATTTAACAGGACACAAAATACTGATTAAGAAACAAGAAAACGAATGCAACCTTACGTTTTACTTGAAAGGATCTAGTTTATGGACTAGCATATAAAATGTTGCTTAAGAGTTTGTGCTGGTATAAAGTACAAGAGTATTAAGAAGTCAAAGCAATATGCAGTTTAAAAGATTAAGAAATATGCCAGGAAAAAGTCCATAAAGATGGTGTTAAAGCAAAAAACTATGTTCAAGTGAGACAGACAAAATCATCTAATAAGTGTTCTCTTCAGTAGTTAGTAGATATTCAGAAAGAGAAAGCAAAAAAGAAGAAAAATACTGATTCAAAGAGGTAATGAGCTCTTAGCAAACTAGAACCAAAGCAGTAATTTTTCATAAATGATGTTGAAAATTAAATGATGAAACTTGTATGGCATTAAGAAAGTAATAAAAATTGTATCATTCTGTATGTATTGGATACCTCATCAAATACAGAATTAAACAAAAAGTGTCCTCGCATATTATAGTATAGTGATTTGATTTGTATAATGCTAATTGCCCAATGATGATAGCTTTGACCAAATGGTAAGAAATATAAAATTGGTAGTAATACTTTAATGTGTTTAATTTTTAATTTTATTTAAATCGGTAGAGGAAATGCATTTAATAAGTATCATATGTTTTCAACATTTTCTGGGTTTCAACTTCAATACCAGTTTTTTCTTATCTCTGGTAAATAAACAATCTGTTTAAATGTGTTCCACACAACAATAACTAAAATACAGAGTAGTAGAGAAATGGTAATCTATAATATTTTACTGTTTTCTTTGCTTCAGGGTGTAAAAGATTTAAGTATTACTGTCATACTTGTAATGAATAATTGATGCAAGTGATATAATATCTTGTACTTCCAAGTAACATTAGAAACAACACTATCACTGATTAGTGAAAATAATCAATAATCTAAGAGGTAGAACTAAATAATATAGCATTCAAATTGAAACCTGTTAGTATAAAACCACAGCAATTTGTGGGTTCGAATTCCAAACTATTAGTATAAAACCACAGCAATTTGTGGGTTGAATTCCAAACTATTAGTATAAAACCACAGCAATTTGTGGGTTTGAATCCTCATCCCATCAAACATGCTTGCCCTATTCAGCTATGGGGGCATTATAATGTGACAGTCAATCCCACTGTTTGTTGTTAAAAGAGTAGCCCACAAGTTGGCAGTGAGTGGTGATGACTAGCTGCCTTCCCTCTAGTCTCTCACTGCTAAAGTGGGGATGGCTAGTGTAGATAGCCCTCATAATGAAACAGTGAAACATTCTGGTGTCTGAGGGTAAAACAAAAATTCCCATAATGGAGCTCAACATCACAGGTACTTTACAGCCACTGAACCACAAGGTCTGAAAACGAAATGTTTCTCCTTTACCTTTTAATTTGGAAGTTGTTCTTCCAGTTGTTTGCAAACTTCAAGTACGATTTTTGAAAGATACTGTTTGTTTTGTAAATGGTCTTATCAGATAGCCAGGTTTGGGGTTAGAGTGTTGGAAATTTTTATAATTTATATGCATTGCAACATAGAGTTTTACTTGGAATTAAAATTTATTCTCATTCATTGTATTTCGCAGCTTGCCATTATCAACTACCTTGATGAAGAATACCCTCAGAATAAGTTGTTGCCTGTTGATCCTTTGATGAAAGCACAGGTAAACTCTAAACATAACTGTAAGATTTATTGTTTACAAACATCATCTTAAGCTATTATGTAAACTCAAATATCTGTAATTTTGTGTTTGAAGTATAGACGAAGATGTAAGGAAGAAAAACTATTCCTGACAGAAATATTATTTATGTTGCTACAGTATACCATCTAGTCTTATGATGTAATTATGCCCAAGTTGTTCAAACAAGATTCCTTACTTGGTAATATGTTTTATATTGTACAATAATTTAACCCTATTCTGCCTGACTGGTGTAAAGTGAGTTGTCAAAAAGAAAAGTATATAGTATCATTTTCAATATACTTTGTGCTATTTCAGTACGTTGTACATGTACACATTTTTGTTTTATATGATCCATAGAATTAATTTAAACACTTCTTTCTTGTTTGATTTTGAACCTTGAGTGTTTTTGTCTTATTGCAGGTGAATATTGTTGCTAATGCTATAGCCTGTGATATTCAGCCTATTCAAAACCTTGTTGTGCTTCAGTATGTAGGTGATGAGAAAAAGGCAGAATGGGGAAAATATTGGATAACAAAAGGATTCACAGGTTCATTTTGTTTTCATTCTAATTATATAGCTTAGTTTCAGTGAAATTATAATCTGCATCTTGTTGAATCCCATCATTATTTATCTAATATTATTTTATTAAAAGTTATAAATTTTACAGTAAGGAAGAAATTTTTAAAAATGGGTAACAATGTTTTGATCATTGGTGCAATCATTTACAAGTACACAATTTTTAACGCTAAAGAAAGTTTTAGTATTTAAATTAACATTCAACAATCTAATAGTGTATTTAGATTTTAAGAATGCTTAGCATTTCGTGGATTACATGATTAGAAAACCAGTTTGTGTTTTTTCTATAAATTTTTGTAGAGAAGTCTTGGGGGCTCGTGTCTTGTAAATGTTTAAAAATATTATTGAGTAGTTATTTTCATTTTCAGCTGTGATTTTTATGTGTTTGTGTAGGTTGTTTGTGTGTTGAAGGAGTTTTGTATTCAAATGGAAGCTTAGAAAGAACAAACTTAAATGCTAACACTATAGTGGAATGTATGATAAAACATACACATGTTTAATATATAACATTGGTAAGAGAAACCATTATAGTGAAAGGCTTAAATATAAGTATAAACACCTTGTGTTTAAAATAATAATACATATCAAATAAAAGCACTGAGAATCCACAATTGATTACATTAATGACAACAGGAAGGAGTTGCTGTAATTATTTAGTGTTGGGTGATCATTGAAAATGGAGAAGCTTTCTTTAATAAAGAGTTCGTAATCTGTGGTTCTGGAGTTAAGAACTTTAAAGTTTTCTAGAAGTTTAGGGAGGTTGTTATTCTTACTGTGCAGTGGATACAAGACTCCGGTGGATTACATAGCTTATATCTGCTTGTAGCTGAAATTCCCACGTGCTTGTGTGCACGTATTTGTAGACGACACATAGTTTTACCAATATAGGTAGCTTTACAGCTACCATAAGTGTATTTATATATGACCCACGAGCACATAGGAACGGGTATAGCATCTTTTATTTTAAACATATTTTTAATTCTAAGTATAATATCTATAATTGTATTTTCCTTATGTCTATTATATCGAAACAATCAATTTATATTCTATATTCATCATAATTCTATATGTTTAATAACTTTAATACGAGATGTCGGTTATTGTTGTGACTGTTGCCTAGATACCTATTTTAAAGCAGTGTTCCACAGTTTAACGAATTTTTATCGCTCGGTTCATTGTTTCCTAAAAAGTTCACAAATAAAAGTATTTTAACGTAGAGGAAAGTCCATTTATAATTTTAAATATTAATTTACGTACATTATGAGTCTTAAACAACAACTTAGAACAGACTGAAGTGTTCACCCAGCATTTAAGCACATTATTTACACCTTTGAACACCTCTGAAATTCACAAACTCATTAAAGAGCAGTGGTGGACAGTGGAAGAAAATCATCCACCTTTAGTGGTGTGCTCTCTCACATTTCGTCCATTTCTTTAGAATTACGATAGACATTTTTCTTTCATCAGATATTATTATTTTATGTGAAATTATTTAGATGGAGCTTAAATTGGATGGAGATAGATATGATCCAGTGAAAGTTGGGGAGAACAAATATATGTTATAAATTAAATTATTTTCAGTCTCATAACTTCTGTTTAATTTTGTATTGATTCAAAGAATCTGGCTGTGTAGTACAATAAGGAACTTGTAGATCTCATAAGGTTTTACATTTATTTCATAACATTGATGTTTAGCATAAATTGATTTTCTTATATATAATTAAGTTTCATTTTATAGAGAAGAAAAAGAAAAGTACATAAATAAACAACTGAAAAATATACTTAAAAATAATAAAAACACATATAAATATCCAACAGCAGGGCAAAAATCATAGGGTGGGTCATTATGTAATGTGCCCTGGTTTTTTGAAGTACCGGTTGAAGTAAGCCCCAAATTACATTGGGGTAGACTGTCTATCTAGTTTAACTTCAACTTCACCAGCCTCACATGCTTAGAAAAAATAAAATGGAACTGATGTAGATGCTCTAGCCCACGATGTCCCACGTCTTTACCACCTCTCGTTCTCACAAAAAATATATGAATATATAAAACTGGAAAAACAAAAATAGTAAAAAAGATAATAATTAGAATACAATACATCAACGGGGGGACAGTAAAACTGCCCTTGAAGTTAGCATTCAAGTCCCCAATATAATGTTTAGACATAAATACCAAGATACTACTGTGTTAAGCCTAACCTTTTATTATTAGTAAAGTTCCTATCCTTTACACTTCCATGCTACTATCTGGATCTCCAATGATTCTAAAGAGATCCACACCATATCAGGACTTGTCTCATAGAGTTGGTAATATGCTTATTTTAAGAATTGTAAATTTCTATAAATTCTACAATACCTAAAAAACTGTGGATGTATAACACTCTGTATGTCATTTGTTGGTACATTACTGTTTGGAGAGGGAATTCTACAAATTTGAAAAGTGAAATCATTTCTTTTATCACAAATATTGATATAGTTATTAATTATCTTAATATCTAAATCTACATAATAAGCTTCAGTATTTAAAATGAAGGTGTTCTTGACCTGTAGAATAAATGTTACCAATATAATTACTTATTACTGGATTATTAATACTAATTAAATCATCAATATATCTATATGTTAAGAAAATAAGTCAGGATTTGTAAAGTATATAATAAATTTATTTTTGTAACAATAAAGATAAAAATTAGCAACACAACTTTAATAATTAGATCACATTGGAATACCTACTATTTGTTTGTAAATGTACATATCAAAATGAGTATAATTATTATATAAGCAAATCTGAATATGTTTTTAATGTTATTAGCAATAAATGTTTGATTTTGTACTTTTATGGGTAGATCAATAAATTTATCTATTAATGAATCTATCACCTTTACCCAAATCATTAAGTGACACAGTTGTAAATAATGCAGTGAAATGTAATCTGTTTATAAAACGTTTTGTGGCTTACAAAATATATGTACATTGCTCCC